CGCAGCTCCTGCCGTGAACCTGGGGCAGCGCTGGCAGCTCTCCCCGCTGTTCATCCCAGCCTGGGTGCCCTTCTCCTTTCTCCCTGGATCCATCCATCCATCCAGGGGGGTGATTTAGCACAGAGGACGCTGCAGGGTGGGTGCTGGCGCTGGGATGGTTCCAGCTGCGATGCTGGAAGCGCTGTGGATGCCTCGTGTTTATGAAGGGAGACTTGGGGAGCAGTTGTTATTAAGTATTTTTAAATGCCTTCTTCCAACACCCTCAAGTAACTCCCGGTGAAGCAGCTGGAGGCGTTTCTTTCCTTAAACCCTCCCTTAATTTCAACAGCTGCATAATAAAACCCAGGGCTCACGTGCTGACAGGAAGGTTTTGCCTCGTGGGGCTCCCCATGGGGCGATGGGGGCTGCCCGTGGGGCCACGTGCTCTCTGTGGAGCAGTGGTGTCCTCCACGGGCCCTCTCCGTAGGGTGACATGCTCTCCATGCTCTCCATAGGGCACACGTAAGCAGGAGAGCACTCAGACCCCCCCTGGGTCCCCCAGGAAGGGACAGCCCTGGCTGGGTTGCGCCCAGGTGACATTCAAGCCCCGCCCCATTCCCAAAAAGCTTTTAATTCAGGCAGATCCAAGCAGGAGCTGCTGCATCCCTGGTGCGACAGGAAGCGGAGGTGGCCCCATCACCCCCAAGCTCCTGTGGGGTGGCATCAATCACCGCAGGGATGTCCCCTCCCATGTCCCAGGTGTGGGGGGAGGAGTGCGTTCCCAGCCCAAGTTTGGGGAAAAGGGGGGGCTTTGTGACTCAAGCAGCTGGGGATGAGGGCGATGGATGTTCCTTTTGGTTGAGAAACGGACTTCTTGGATTTAAAAAAAAAGAGGAAATTGTCCAAATGAAGGGCTGCAAGGAGAAACTCTGAAAGAATTCCTTGGCTGATGGGGAGAAGATGGATGGGGCTGGGGCATCTTCCAAGACACCCACCCCCTGGTCATGTCCAGCCCGCAGCAGGGCAGGGAGCAGCGAGCTCCGTTCCCACCCAGCATTTTAAACCTCAAACCACGGGTATTTATGTGCCTGGCACACCGAAAAAGGGGAATTTTACATCAATAAATAGCTATGTTGATCCAAATGGAAAGGGGTTGTCCCGTGCAGCTCCGGGCCGGAGCATCGCCGG